TTTCACATATATATTCATATCATTTCACATATACACTTCATATCACATGCCATATAAGCTCATAGCTTCTTTCACATATACATGTAGTCACATAGCTTCTTTTCATATTCTCATAGGATCACATAGTTCATATCTTATACTTTGTTTTCTCATGTTCACATATATCATGTCATATGATTCATATCTTTCTCATGCAGTCACATAGTTCAGTTTCACATATGTTCATATATATACATTACATAGCACATACTTCTCATAACATTACATTCAAAAGCATGTTAACACATATATCATGCATACATACAATTCATGTCATTCATATACGTATAATCATATATCATGCATTCTAACAGAGGAAATAGACTTGTCGCAAGTCTTGTTTCCATTTTGCACCATAAACTAATTAATATGCACTCACCTGGCCTCACTAGTCCCTTTCAATCTCTTATCTTCCCTTTTTATCGATCTTACTTGTCAATGATTTCAGAACTCGTTTAGGCTTTGAATCTACATAATTATACAATTTAAGACAATTATTAGATACCTACACCTTTTAATTGGATACTAGCAACTTAAACGAACTTATTAAACCAATATTAACATTTTCCTATAGGGGGAATCGGTTCCCCCCTGTGGGGGTATCGGTTCCCCTCTGGCATTCTGGAATTCTGTCGCTTGAAGGGGTATCGGTTCCCCTTGAATGGGTACCGATTCCCCTTGCCCAGAACTCATATTTTAAGCTCGAAAATCACTTCAATTCTCTCAAACACTTCATATATCATCCCCTTTTCATTCTTAACTCTAGTACACATACTTAAACCAATCTATTCATTTATTCATCTTAAACCTTAGAATTCTATTCTCAATATAGAATCCAATCATATCAATTTTTCATGTTATTCAAACATAATTCTAATACTTCTAACTTCTTAATCTCATAGATGACAAGTCAAATTCAACTTAAAATTCAACTTATCAATTCTATTTCAAGATTTGATTCAAGAACTCAAAATCTTTAATCTCTCATATACCTTTCATCTTGTTGTTTTAGAACAAATTAAGCTTTCATTAAGCTTAATTATCATCTAATAATCAAAACTAAACTTAAATTTCAGCCCATAATCAGCTCAAGAGAAACTCACCTTTGCTTGGCTTCACACGTGGAGAAGAGAAAAATGAAGAAGGAAAAGAGAGAAGAGATTTTTTTCTGGAAACTCTCCATCCTTATCCATATATATATCATTTAATTATAATTTCAAGTCTAATGACCATTTTGCCCTTTAATTTTCTTTAACAATTACAAAATAACCTTCATCATATGTATCCAATAATCCTTGAACTATTTCATTCTTATTCTTTAGTCATCAAATTCCGAAACTTTACAATTTGGTCACTAACCCGATATTGAGGATGTTACAAGTTTCGTCACATTTCAGTCAAATATTAAGATAAAAATAAAATAGTTTCAATCAAATGGTTAATTAAATGTTAACAATTAATAGGCCGAATAGCCTTGATGTTTGAGCTTCAAGAAAACTGATATCCAAATTGTCTTAAATGGGCTTATATAGCCCAAATTAAATACCCATTGAAGACGTTAAGGATACTTCAAAAAATAGTAAGCAACACCTCATCACACGGATCATCACCGTCTTGAATCGGTTTTGGATCATCACCATCTCGGGTCTCAAATAATTTGATTCAAGTCAGTTTCAATCAATTTGATAAGTAGGGTCAGTTTTTTACATCTCTAGATGAGGTGTTGCTTTCCCTTTTTTTGAAGTATCCTTAACGTCTTCAATGGGTATTTAATTTTCTCGTATCGATGGGGTATATATCTAAGCTAATATCCATGGATTAGAGAGCTGAATGAGACCACTATATTTCTATTAACCTTTCATTTTGCTTCTTGGCATATCAAAAATTTCCACGCATAGTTCCACACTGACCTTTATATCCATAAATACGCTAAAAAACATGACTATCACTCAATTACTTACGACTTGCGACTTACGACTTACGACTTACGACATTGACTTGACTTTGTTTAGATAAGGCCCAAGCAAATGAACAATAAGTAACGGTATATGAATTTTGAGTTTTTTTTTATTTAAAGTATAATGTTTTAATTATTTATAATTTATATTTTTAAAAAAAATTAAAAACAAATAAGTGACAGGATATGTTAATATTCGTTCGTTTAACTTTAAAGAACGGGAGTATGTTATTCTTTAATATGCATGTTCAAAATAGGCCTGTAAACGAATCAAACGAACATAAACGGGGATATGTTCATGTTCGTTCGTTTAACTTTAACCAAACAAATGAACAAACACGAACATAAACGAACAAAAAATAAATTTATTGTTCGTGTTCGTTCGTTAAGGAATGTAGCTTGTTTGTATTCGTTCATGTTAGTTCATTTAAATGATAAACGAATATAAATGAACGGATGTAAACGAACATAAACAAACACAATAAAAGAACGTAAACGAAGACAAACGAACGAACGTAAACGAACACAATAAATGGACATAAACGAACATAAATGAAATATATTTTTTTCTTTCCTAACAATTTTAGGATTATATTTTATTTAATTGTTTTAGGTTTTTTTATTTGTATTTAAAATTAATTGAGTTTTAAAATATTTATGGGTGTTAGATTAAAATATTTTGGGATTTTATATTTTAAATGGGTCTAGGGAGATTGAGCTAAACATAAATGAACGCACATAAACGAACATAAACGAACATAAATGAACCAACATAAACGAACATATTACCGAACGTAAATGAATGAATGAGCCATCTGTTTGTGTTCGTTCATTTAATTAAACGAGCACAAAATCTTATTCATGTTCATTCGTTTAATAAATAAACGAACATAAACGAACTTCCTGCTGAACGATTCACAAACGATTCACTAAACGTTTATTTCGTTTACATGCCTACGTCAACATTTGGCAATCGCTACCGGCTTATAAAACCCCTGAAAAATGGTAAAATTTATTTCCAATATTATATCTGAAATTATCTCAACAATTAACAACTTAACATTTAGTGTAAAAAGTTATCTTTTATGAATCAAATGGAGGAAGAAAGAAAAACAAATAGAATTTAAAAGTAAATCTGTTCACAACCGACTTATATTATTACTAAAATAATAAAATAAATATAAGTTGAATTTAATTAAAAATTGAGGACGGCTTAACAGTTAACAGTTTCGTCACATTGCAGTCAGTTTTACCAAAAAAAAAAACCCTTGAAAGATAAAACTTTAAATATTAAGATAAAAATACAATAATTTCAATCAAATGGTTAATTAAATGTTAACAATTAATAGGCCGAATAGCCTTGATGTTTGAGCTTCTAGAAAATTGAAATCCAAATTGTCTTAAATGGGCTTATATAGCCCAAATTAAATACCCATTGAAGACGTTAAGGATACTTCAAAAAAGGGAAAGCAACACCTCATCACACGGATCATCACCCTCTCGAATCGGTTTCGGATCATCACTATCTCGGGACTTAAATAGTTTTGACTAAAGACAGTTTTAGTTAGTTTTACAAGACGGGTCAGTTTTTTACATCCCCAAATGAGGTGTTTTTTTTTTTGAAATATCCTTAACGTCTTCAATGGGTATTTAATTTTCTCGTGTTAGCCGTATCGATAGAGTATATATCTAAACTAATATCCATGGATTAGAGAGCTGAATGAGACCACTATTTTCTACTAACCTTTCATTTTATTTGTTGGAATATAAAAAATTTCCACGCATAGTTCCACACATAGTTCCACATAAATAATACGCTCAAAAACATGACTATCACTCAATTACTTACGACTTACGACATTGACTAGACTTTGTTTAGATAAGGCCCAAACATAAAGCCCAAGCAAATGAACAATAAGTAACGGTATATGAATTTTGAGTTTTTTATTTATTTAAAGTATAATGTTTTAATTATTTATAATTTATATTTTTTAAAAACAAATATACAATCTTTTAAATTTTATAACAACAAACTATAACAATCTAAATGATGTTTTAGATATATTTTACCCTGATGTTTACTGTTATTTGGATTAAGACAAATTGATATAATTATAAATTGATTGAATTTGTATAAAATTTGATTCAATTTATTTTTTAGAAACAATTATGCTTTTTAAAAAAATAAATATAATTAGTTGATTGGATTTTAATTTACAAATTAAAATTTAGTTTATTTGATTAAATTAAAATGAATTTTTAGATATAAATTAAATATTTTAAAGGGTACAAATACAAATATTAGGATAATACGTTCGAGTAACATCAAATGAAATTCTAATAAAAAATCAAATATAAGCGATCGACACAAAATATCAATCAAATAAATATAGATCAAAACAATTTTAGATAAAAATCACATTTTTTTAATAATTCATACTTAGGAGGAGGGAAAAGGGAATTATGCTTTTAATGAATATTGAACACACAATATAGAAAAAAAGAAAGAAAGAGATGTCAACTAAGAACTTTTAACCACATATTCTAAAAATTATTGACAAATAAAAATCACACTTAAAAAGAATAACTGAAACAAATATGAGCAGAGCCCACATATATTATTTTATACCTATTGAAAATCAAAATTGCACACTCAAAATGAATACAAGTCTTTGCATGGATATTGCTGAATTAGTCTTTGCATGGACTGCACGTGAGAGCAACCAAAGCAGCATGGGACCTTAATTTCCCCTTTGTGCTTTCAATGCATACATAATTTTCGGTCATCACTATTATTAGACCTTCATTCTAATGGTGAATTGTATGGAAATTTCCTTCTTTTTCTAGTTCGGATTTCTATACGTAACTGTCAAAATCAGAGTATGGAAATTTCTTGTATTGTTGAATTGATTTAAAATAGCGGTTGGCAGGGCTTGATTTTGTGTATAAAAGCGGTTTCTATTTCCAACATTTTAGTACCATAAGAAGTGCTTGTTCAGATAATATGGGGCTCTTATCACAACCCTTTGTGCCAAAATGCTCACTCTTCTTAATTCTCTCTCTTTTTCTTACTCGGTGTGTTTCTTCTGTGAAGCAACCCTGTTTGTACTCTGAACGCTCTGCTTTGTTGCAGCTGAAAGAAAGCTTCATTCTCAAAAAGTCTGCTTCTGGTCATCCCAAGTTTGGTTCCTGGAAAGGTGAAGGAGAAGATGGAGGGGATTGCTGCTCCTGGGATGGCGTTGAGTGTGACGACAGCACCGGTCACGTTACTGGACTTGATCTCGGCAGCAGCTTCCTTCATGGTTCCATCCACTCCAACAACAGCCTCTTCCAACTCCATCATCTTAGAAAGCTCGACCTTTCGGACAATGACTTCAATGGCTCTAAAATCCCTCTTGCAATCGGGCGGCTTTCAAGGCTATCTCATCTGGACCTCTCTTTTTCTGAATTTTCAGGTCAAATTCCATACGAGGTTCTAGAGCTTTCAAAGCTGGTCATACTTGATCTTTCCGGAAATGATCTAGAGCTCCGGAAACCAAGCTTGAAAAGTTTAGCCGAGAGGTTAATCAACCTCAAGCATCTTAATCTTGACGGGGTAAAGGCATCATCAACCATCCCACAAAGTTTGGCAAATTTATCATCTTTGACATATCTCTCTCTCGAGTATTGTGAACTGCATGGTGAGTTCCCTGTTGATGTTTTTCAACTGCCCAATCTTCAATATCTTAGTGCATGCGACAATACGTTTCTTACGGGACGTTTACCAGAATTTGCCAAAAATACTTCTCTTGAGGGATTGGGAGTTGCCCGTACAAGTTTCTCGGGTGAGCTACCAAAATCAATTGGGAATCTCAAGTCATTACGGGGATTACAGCTTAGAGACTGCAACTTCTCTGGACCAATCCCCACTTCCATCGCTAACCTTACGCAGCTCACTTTCCTGGCACTAGGTCAAAATGAGTTTAGCCCTACCACTTTGTCTTGGCTTGGGAAGCTATCAAAACTAACCGCACTGGAATTAGATTCTACAAACTCAAAAGGTGATGTCCTATCTTCTCTAAAAAATCTTACCATGCTCAATGAGTTGTTGGTTTCCCAAAATCAGTTTTCAAGCAGAATCCCGTCCTGGTTAGGAAATCTTACTCGACTAGTCTATATAGACCTTGGTGTTAACGAACTTTGGGGTCCCCTTCCAACATCAATCTTTACTCTAGTGAATCTCGAAGTTCTAGATTTAGAGATAAATCATATAAGCGGTTCCTACAATTTAGAATCCTTTCTAAATTTGAAAAATGTCCGCCATCTTCAATTGGCTTCGAATAATTTTTCATTGCTCACCTCAACCGTTACGAATGTTAGTGTTCCGAAGTTAACATATCTAACATTGGATTCCTGCAACTTATTAGAGTTTCCAAATTTTCTTTCGAGTCAACATGAACTGCAGTTCCTGTCTCTTGCTGATAATAAAATCCATGGGTTAATCCCCAAATGGTTATGGGGCTTATCTGCTGAAACTCTTGAAGTCTTAGATTTAAGAGGAAACTTCCTTACAGGTTTTCACCAACCAATTGTTGTTCCTCCATGGACCAATATAAGAGAGTTGGATCTTAGCTCTAACAAGCTACAGGGATCCCTTCCTGTTCCACCCGCTTCCATTGCCCATTACTATGCCTCAAACAACTTGTTGAAGGGGGAAATCTCATCGATGATATGCAATCTGCCTTCTATAACTCTACTTGACATATCAAATATAGCTTGTGGCATGCTTCCACCATGTTTGGGCAATCTAAGCAATCACTTTCAGTACTAAATCTACAAAACAACAACTTTCGTGGCCCTATTCCTAGATCATGTCAAAAAGGAAGCCAATTGAGGGTGATGGACCTTGGCCAAAATCAATTTAATGGACAGATCCCGAGATCACTGGTTAAGTGCAAGATGCTAGAGTTTCTGAACCTAGGAAATAATCAGATAGAGGATACGTTTCCTTCTTGGTTGGGCTGGCTTCCAGAGTTGAAAGTTCTCATCCTAAGGCATAATGGATTTCATGGTGTAATTGGAAAACCAAAATTTAACGAGTTTCGCGAGATGCGAATCCTTGATCTCTCATTCAATAAATTTGTAGGTGGTTTGCCATCTCATCATTTCCAAAGATGGAAAGCCATGCAAGTTGTTGATCTTGGCAAGTTAAATTACTTGCAAGCAAACGTAAGTTTTCAAGCGCCAGGAAATAACTGGTTTACCAGCTTTTCGTACTCAATGACAATGACAAAGGCAGGCGTGGAAACAAAATACGAGAAGATTCAAGACTTCTTGGTAGCCATTGATCTCTCAAGCAATAGATTTGAAGGCCGCATTCCAGAAGACGTTCGGGTTCTAAAGGCAGTTCAATTCCTCAACCTCTCCAACAACTTGCTTTCGGGTCAAATTCCATCAGCACTGGCGAATCTCACACAACTTCAAGTTATGGACCTTTCTCAGAACAAGCTCAATGGAGAGATCCCTCGAGAGCTAGTACAACTCACTTTCCTTGAATTTTTCAACGTCTCTCATAATCAGTTGATCGGACCCATACCGCAAGGAAAACAATTTAGTACGTTCCAAAACAACTCATTTGAAGGCAACCCAGGATTATGCGGGAAACCATTGTCGAAAGAATGCTATCCTGAGGGCTCATCACCAACATCGCCTTCAATGTCAAAGAGAGATGATGGGGGAGATACATGGTTTGAATTTGGGTGGAAGGTAATCATGTTGGGGTACGGAAGCGGGCTACTGAACGGACTCATTCTCGGATACCTCTTCAACCCCATGAAAAGTAAGTTGTTTGTAAAGTTTTTTGGAAGGAAGATGCAGAATCGGAGAAGGGGCAGAAGGAATTAACTCGGTGATTAATGTTGAGGTAGTACGTTGCTTTCAGTGTTGTATAAGTTAATTTGTATTTTCCTTTTCCTTTCTTCTTATTTTGCCTTTCCTTATCAACCATGGTCACTTATCATGTGCAAGTATTATTAATGTAAAAACGATATAGTTTGCCGTAGTAATAATAAACAACTTTAAGAGGTTCTACTTTTTAGATTAAGAAAACAGTCAAGTTCTGGACTTTCCTGTATATTGAAGTTGATCAGTAAGATGTTGTGGACAAAACTTTAATGATAAATCTGTTTGAAAATGTGGACTTGCAGACAAAATATCTCCTGGATCTTCACAAATTTCCTTAGCCCATTCTTTCAAACCTAGATTTGGTCTAAATATTACTCACCTGATTAATTATTTCTTTTCTTATTCACGTAATCACACCTTATTTTTGTGCTAAATTTCCCATTAAACTCGTATCAGATTTTGGTAGGATTGAAAGAAAAAAAAACTGGAAAAGGTGCACATGCCAGGGTTTCATCAAACAGTAAAATTTGTCAGCTCGTTAATATCAGTTTGTAAGTTGGAGTAGAAGTTTCCTTGCAAAAGTAACCCATAAAACAAGGAAGGTCCAAACCAAATCCCTTAAACCCTTTGGAAGAACAAAAAACCGGGCAAGAAAATGTACAACCAGAAGCAGTTGTAGCTGAAATGTTTGAAAACAATGAGGACTTGAGATTCCATGATGGATCACTTAGAGCTAAGAGAGCAGTTGGGGGAAATATGTCATGTTGTATAAGGGCATTTCGAGTTAAAACCCTAGCTGGATGTAATTTCACTGTTTGTTTTTTCCGGATCCTCTTCTGTTTACCTTTGATCTACTTGTTTGTTTTCCGTTGTTTAAATTAATACAATAAAATCCAAGTTAACAATTACTTAATCTATTGACCTTGCCTATTACTTTAAATAATTCCATTAATGCAGAAACTACAGAAAGAACCTGGTCATGTAGATACCTTCAAACAGATAAATCTGGTTTGGGTTTTTTTACCCTGCTTGAAAAGTTATGAGTTTTTGTATGGGAATCGTTACCCTAAACCCAACCCCCAGCGTCACACCTTGCCTAAATTTTATAAATTGGTACAATTACCTAGATACCTCACACAGAAGCAAATGAACGAATTTAAAAATGAGTGTCGAATATGAATATGTGTTCGATATAAACTTTTACACAGGACAGGGTCGACCTAATTATGCACACACGAGTTTATGCATATCAAGATTTATCCGTTGAAGTTGAGTTTGAATAAAGCGATGAAAAGTGGAGCGAATGGTCCATGTTTGTAATTGAAGTTGTACAAATTTGTAAAATTGATTTTTTCGACTCGATTCAAATTGATTTTAAACTATAATTTCTTAAACTCGATTCAATTAAAAAATATTTTAAATTCAAATCAAGTTATAAAATATAATTCAAATAGTAACACAAATAACTTGAATTTTTAATAATGTGGAAGTTGATTTTTAAATTTGAGTCGAATCCCTTGAGTATGTTATGATATATGTATATCACATAAAAAAAATATGAAGAGATATATATGTATTGTATATGGTTATAAAAACATTTAAATTGGAAACAAATAGTATTATAATATTATAAATATTTATAATTAAATTCAAACAAAAAATTAAAAACTCAATTCGACTCGACCCAAAAATTTTTTAAATTAAATTCGAGTTATAAAATAAGATTCACCAACTTAAATAACTCAAAAAAAATATTCATCTCAACCCAATTCTATCCAACATTGACTTCTAATTCAAACCCCTTTAAAATAACTTAATAATATTTTAATTATAGTTGTACTGTCTTAAAGGGCTTTGGGGTTTGGTTTTGTAGGTCAAAATCCAAATCCCAAAGAAAAGACACAACCAAAATAAAAATCACTAATGGATATGAGACAGTTAATTTTTCTTAAAAAATTAAATTTATTATATATTTTTAAAAAGTTTAAAAAATTATTACAATTTATTTTTGTTCTTCTAAAATTTTATAAATTTGTCATCTTTTTAAAAATTTACCCTTACTAATATAAAATTTTACATACATCTCTTACTAAAATAGTACCCTCCCTAACTCTTGATCTAAATCAAAGCTCTTTTCTTGCTTTGGTTGTTACCCAAAGAAATTCATCATTATTATTTCAAGATGGAACATAAGATGATCTGATATGACATGTTTCAGTAAAAACCAACTCTTTTCATACTTGGCTGGTGCTTTTACTTATTCATTAGATTTCAGTCTATGTTTCTTCTTCAATCTGCTTTACCACCAAATATATTGAATTTCAGTAAAATTTTGGTATTAACAGACAAAAGAGGAGGCAGACAATGCAAATCTCACCAAATCCTACACTGCCTATACTATATATATCGTAGCCCTCCACAGAGAATAATTCTGTAACTGAAGAGACTGGCTACAGCAGAAGTGACTCTGCAAAAGGATAGAGTGGATGAATGGCAAATAAGATTACCCAGCAGGAAATGAGTTAATAACAAGGAGAAAATAAAATGTCGCAACAAATTCAAAATCTTCCGCTCCGCCCTGTTGAATTTTTTCTTTCTTTCTGGGATCCAAACACACCATGCTTCCAGCGGTGTCGAAATGACACATTTGTTCTCCCAAACACACCAAAGTCTTAAATCAAAGTTTTTGGCCTTTGCACCATAAACAGCTGTGCCTCACATTGAAACTAGGCTACCAGTGCTTTTCTTTTTGCAACGGCCCTGAACCAATTGACGCTAAAACAAAAGAAACATGTAAAAGCGTCTTGGAATTCACAAGAAACAAAAAACAACAATATACAAATTACAAAAGCAATTTAAAGCGAAAGGCACAGCAAACGATCCCAGTTCTTTGCCTTGGCTCTTTTCTCTTGGCCTCTTCTCCCGTCCCTCTCGATACCCTTTCTCTCTCTCGTTACCCCATAATCTCGACTCCATTTCATTCACGCACTAAATTAAACTACATTTTTCAAGGATTTAATTATGTTTTCTCCTCGCTAATAATAATGGTAATTTAGATAGATGAGAACCGGAACCGTAAAATATGGTCGTGTACGTTACAGCAAATTCTAAATTACAGCAAGTAATGGTTGTTTTCTTAAATAAATGTATCTAAATTGTTTCAAAGACCCAGAAGGAAAAATAAAATCTTTCTCGTTTGTCTTTAAGTCTGCGTGTCTCTTTCCCTAATACAAACACAATCTTTTTCTTTTTCCCTCTGAAGTCAAATCCCTTATACTCTACGTTACACGGCACCTATAGCATTTCTCTTCTATATTTAACCCACCATTAATTTTTCCTTCGCCTCTCAACTTCTCAACGCTATCTTCTTCTTCTTCTTCTTCTTTACTTCTCCTCTTTATCTTCAACAATGGCGCAAAACCACCACCGCGGGTGCCACCGTCGGAACCACCAGGAGACAGTCGGGGAGACCGAGGAGAAAAGATCCAAGTTCTTTATCAACGACCACGCGGACATCCTCATAGAAATACTTAAACGCCTCGATGGACGTTCCCTCTGCGTCGCCGCCAGCGTCTGCCGTCTCTGGTGCGCCATTGCTCGCAACAACTCCCTCTGGGAAAACCTATGCTTTCGAAACGTGTCTCCTCCAACTTCCAGCGTGCGGTCCGTGGTTCTTGCCCTGGGCGGCTACAAACGCCTCTACGTGGGTTGCGTGAGACCGGTGCGGAGCCTACTCGGACGAGTCAGGAGAGCTTCTATGGCTCGCGACGAGGTCCAGCTCTCGTTGTCTTTGTTTTGCGTTGATTACTACGAAAGACTTGGTGGAAGAAATAGTAACGGGAGACTCGTCGGGGAATCCTCACCATCCTCGCTAATGTTCCTATGCAAGCCCGTGAATGTTTGATTTTTCGTCGCCTTTTATCTTATTTATATTTTCAATTTATTATACTTTAAAAATGAAAATTATCATAAAATTCTTTATTGCTTTTATATACTTTATGTTATAATTTTCTATGAATTGTTATTAGATTTGTCACTATGAGAAATGATTAAGTTGCTACCTTTGAGTTTTCTTCTTTCTCCTCTTTTCTAATATAGTTTGTATTATCATTAACAACTAAAGATATATTCTTAAAATGGGTCAAAAATAAATTAGTTGAATTTTAATTTAATTGATATTATATATATTTAAAAATGTTAAAATAAATTATTTTTAATCATATTAAAAATTGCTACCTTTATAAAACTTATATTAAAATAAATTATTTTTAATCATATTAAAAATTGAGTATTTAAATTATCTGAATAAATATTTATCTAAAATTAATAACATTTTAAATATATTATACAAATAAAATTAAAAGTATTAAAGAAATAATTTTAAAAAATCAAGATATCCTATTAACAAACAACATAATTATAGTCATTAATTATTTTTTATTAATATCTGAAAATATTTTAAAATATAAATTTATTACCTATAAAATCATGTACTGGAATTTTGATATTTGGTTTTCTAACACTTATTTTTTAAATTTATCATTTAAACAAACACTTATTTTCTAACACATATAAAAGAATTGTCCGTCCAGCTCAGTTGGTAAGAGCGCAATGCTCTTAGCCTTGTGGTCGTGGGATCGAGTTCCAACAATTCGAGGTCTCTGCTCTCAACTTGGTATTGGAGCCAGCTACTATCATACCTCCCTTTATCCCATTACATATGAGAATAGGGTTAACTGTTTTTTTAAACAATACTTTAAAAAAAACTTTCTCAAGCATTTTCTAACACTTATTAAGACTGCCCACATGATCGACAACGAAGTTGGCTTCTCTACGGACATCAGTGAAGTGGACTGTCCAAGGCTTGGAACACAATTCGGCAATGCTGCGAACAAGAGTGAACGGACTCTCCAAGGAAGGAGGGGGGAGTAGATCAAGAACATGAGTGCTGTCAGTTTGGATGAGAACACAATCAAAACCTTTAGACCAAGCAACTTTTAATCCTTCAAAACCTACCTATAGTTCGGCATGAAGGACTGAAGATCTTGAACGTGTATTAAATATAAAATTACAAAAAATTAGTATAAAATTATTGTCTTATTCTTATATATCTTATCTAAAATCTAAAACTTGGCAGGAAAACAAATTAAGCCAACGCAATACTAGATTTTCCAAAAGCAATGGATCAAGAAATTTCAGGCCAATATTATTAGTGGCTTCAGTCCTCACACCGGAAAACATCTCTCAACAAGATCTTGTAAAATCCCGCGTGGCATAACAACAGCCTCAACATCTGTCGGAAGAAAATCAGAATGGGAATCCACATCCAATGCAACAGCCAATAGATTGCTGCTGACATGTACATTTCCTGATCCACATCAATCTTCTCATCTCCCATTCTCCATTATAATCCAATCCCCCCTTGTAGTCTCCAAATCCTACACTTGCCACCACAACAGAAGTCTAAGCTAATGGCAACCTCCGGCATCCAACAATCTGCTTTCTCCGGCCAAACAGCTTTGAAGCTGTCCAATGAGCTCCTCCGCATGGTCGGTGGCGGCGGTGGCGGCCGCGTTTTCATGCGAAGAACCGTCAAAAGCGTCCCCACCAGTATCTGGTATGTTACATGCAATATATATATATAATTTATGAGCAAAAAAGACATGAATTTATGTATGTTTGTGATTACTTGAAAACAGGTATGGCCCTGACCGCCCTAAGTACTTGGGTCCATTCTCCGACCAAATCCCATCATACCTGACCGGTGAATTCCCCGGCGATTACGGGTGGGACACTGCTGGGTTATCGGCTGACCCCGAGACATTTGCTAAGAACCGTGAGCTTGAGGTGATCCACTGTAGGTGGGCTATGCTCGGTGCACTCGGCTGTGTTTTCCCCGAGATTCTTTCGAAGAATGGTGTGAAGTTCGGAGAGGCAGTTTGGTTCAAGGCTGGTTCCCAAATCTTCTCCGAGGGTGGCCTCGACTACCTCGGCAACCCCAATCTCATTCATGCTCAGAGCATCCTTGCGATCTGGGCTTGCCAAGTTGTGCTCATGGGATTTGTTGAAGGATACAGAGTTGGTGGTGGACCACTCGGTGAAGGACTCGACCCGATTTACCCCGGTGGTGCTTTTGACCCACTTGGATTGGCTGATGACCCTGACGCCTTCTCCGAATTGAAGGTTAAGGAGATCAAGAATGGGCGGCTTGCTATGTTCTCTATGTTTGGATTCTTCGTCCAGGCTATTGTCACCGGCAAGGGTCCCATCGAGAACCTTTCCGACCACGTTGCTGATCCGATCACCAACAATGCATGGGCTTATGCCACTAACTTTGTACCCGGAAAATGAACAACTTAGATAGACTCATAGACGTGTCTTTGAAAGTTGTAATATTAATCGCTATTCACTATGTAAGTGGTATCTGTTGTAGCAAAACTCCATTACTGATGTAATTTCACTGCCAATCTTTAGAGTTTTTGTACCATTAATGCCTGATGTAATTTCAACCGCATGGGATTCAAGCTTTGAAAAAGTAATTTACCATTTTACCTTGCACCACTCATAGCTCTTTTGCCATATTAAGAAGGTAACAGCTTCAGGCCTGAAGCTTATGGATATAAATACCTTAGTGGAAACAAGGTTGACATATGATAGAACGGTGAACTCAATTTCCGAGGCTTTTAACTCGATGAACTCAACGTTTTGCTAATCGTGTTAAGCTTGTTTGTAGAATTGGAGGCCATCGAAACCAGTACCTGAAGTGAAATAAGCATACCTCGGAACGCTGAACTCGTTCTACGGAAGGAGTTGAAAACATGTGGAGAACGAACCCGACGAGTTGAGGTGAGTCAGGAACGTAGTTGGAGTGCTTAACTCTATGTGTTGTTGACGGCTTGTTTCACAAGTCGTCCATAGATTCAACTTACAATTAATCCTTATAATTATGAACTCACCGAATTTCAAAAACATGTGGAGAACGAACCTGACGAGTTGAGGTGAGTCAGGAACGTAGTTGGAATGCTTTGAAGATTGAGTTGTTTGCTTGTGGAGTAGCTAGGGATGAGCTAGAAATGATTCAAAGTGCTATTGGTTTTAGGATAGGCCAGCTTCCTGTTAGGTACCTAGGGGTGCCCTTGGTTACTCGTAAGCTCACAAGCAAAGACTGCTCGGCTTTACTTGTGAAAATCAAAGGTAGGATTGACAAATGATCTAGTAGGAAACTCATTTTTGGGGGAAGATTACAGCTTGTGAAGTCTGTCATTTTCAGTTTATTTGGTTACTGGTGTAGGCAGATCATAATGCCTAAAGGTGTTATGCGGGATATCGAGAAGATTTGCTTGAGGTTTTTCTGGAAGGGCAGTGATACTTCAGCAAGAGGGGCTAGAGTTAGCTGGAATCAGGTTTGCACCCTTAAATCTGAGGGTGGTTTAGGCCTTAGGAAGCTAGCTGATTGGAGCAAGGCTTGTTGCCTCATGCTAATTAAAAACATTCTTGCTGGGGATGGGTCCTTATGGATTGCTTGGGTAAAGACCTACTATTTCAAATCAGTAGACTATTGGGAGGTTGTTAGCAAAACTCACTTCAGTTGGATTCTTTGCAAGCTGATCAAGATGAGGGAGGAGGCTAGAAGACTTTTAAGTCCTATGGCTAATTTGTCCCAAATTAAGGGCAGATGGATTTGGGACAATATCAGAGAAAGGAAAGAAAAGGTGGACGGGCATATACTGATTTGGTTCCCAGTTCATGTCCCTAAATTTTCTTTAGTTGCTTAGATGGTGCTGCTGGATAGACTGCCAACTAAGGACATGCTTGGCCGTTTTGGTATTGTTACTGATAATTTGTGTGGATTGTGTGGGGCTAGTCAAAAAACTCGTAATCATTTATTCCTGGAATGCTCCTATGCGAGTGATGTTTGGTGTGTAATTATGCGCGCTTGTGGTCTGCAACACCAAATGTCGAGATGCTGGGATGATGTTGTTCACTGGATGGTTCTGAATTTTAAAGGTAAGTCCCTCTCGATTCACATACTCAAGTTAGCTTGGACCAGTTTTGTCTACTTTATTTGGGAGGAGCGAAATCACATATGTTTTAGAGGAGTGACTCGTTCGATTGATTCGATTGATTCAATTGTAAATAAAATTAGTGAGGCAGTTAGAATTAAGCTTCATAGATGCCATATGAATAGGATAGATGCTATAAATAGGCAGTTGTGCCTTAATTGGGGGCTGATCTAGTGTTTTGTATTGTTTCTTGTAGCAGTTTTGCTGCTTTCTTTTGAATGAATAAAAATTTTACTTATTTTAAAAAAATTTAATATTATTTTCATGACAAATTATTTATAACATCATCAATAAAACAATATAACGTGGAATGTGAAGATCCACCATCTAACAAAGCAAAAATGAAACATACTATTGTGCCATGTGAGCAAAGTAATCAAAAATATAAGAGACCACCAATATTATTTACACTATTAAAAAAGCATCCTTGTAGTGATGATTTCCAACTCTGTAACTTTGGGAAGATGACCGTGTTTAAACAATATTGGAACCCTTCTATAAAAAAAACAACATTAGAACCCTAGTTAACAATTAAGTTTCATATTAAATACAGTGGGACTAGGGCCTTATAAGCAATAAGACAGGAATGACAGGAAAATTAATCAAGTATCCATAGCCGGAACCTAGATGTTAAAAAAAGATTAGTAGTTAATTAATTTTGGTTGTTGATTAAAACGGTCTAAGTTTGTAAGGTCGTTTTACATAATTTAGGATATAAGTATCCTTAGGCTGAACATAGATGTTAGAAATAAGATTAGTAGTTAGTTTGTTTTGGGTTGTTAATTAATTATGTATAGGTCAAAGTTTGTTTGTTTGTTTTGATAGGAAAACCAGCCAACTATCTTTGGCACGAAGATGGATGTTAGAAATAAAATTAGTAGTTTGTTTGTTCTGGGTTGGTAATTAATTAGACCCAA